CCTACAAGGAAATGACCACCACAAAGGATTTTCTTCTCCTATTAGCAGAGAAATTTGGCTGTACAGAACAATCAGCAGAGACACAAACAAGGATCAAAGCAGAGGACATATATACAGAGCAGAGGCGAATAAAGTCCAAGTTCCGCTTCTCAGCCTTCGACTTGCTTTCCTACCTGGCTTCTTAGAAGCAGATTTTTCTCATTGGCAACAGACAAGTCACGCAAAAGCTTGCCTTCCCGATCAGCACCTTCCTGCAAACAGAATCAAATTTAAGAACCTGTACTCACCTTAGTTCTTGCATTGCCAACCTACTCCAACCAACACCACACCCAACTAAATCCAACCCACCTCAAACACCATGGCTCCTCTCCGCACCTAGCACCCACCTATCTAATTTACACAAGAATTTTTGCATGGCAGCTGTGGTTAACTCACTAAAAATCACACTTGCTTATCCCGTCCAGCATCCCCTAAATCCACACAAACCTGGTATACCTGGAACCCTGCTCTCAAACCTAACTCGGACTTAAGCAGCTCACCTGCTTTTGCTGCTGGAGCTCTGTAAAGTGGTGCTCAGCCATGCTGATTTGCTCCTGTTTTGTGGCATTCAGTAGCTCCCCAAAATTGTGCACCTTCTGCTCAGACAGAGCCAGGGCAGCTTCAGCCATCTGCAGCCTACACAGAAAAACAGTTTACAGAGTCTCTTCTAAGGGAGACACTTCCAGTGAGCTCTCTATGCCACATGGTACAAGATGTTAACACAGAGTTGGCAGCGGATGAAATCAGGCTTGCTAAATGAGGCGGGCTTTGCCCCTGGGAAAAGGATACCACTTATCTGTGCCCAACAGCCTCTGCAAACAGTGAGTGACCCGGAACTTCTCAGAGCCTGGTGTTCTAGTGCCCCACTGCGCCTTCCCTGTGTTGTCTCCTGTGAGCTGTTTCCCCTGCCTGGACCCCTCCAGGATTTGCCCAACCTCACAGCAGAACAAAGCTGGCTATTTTATACCACTGCAAAGTTGCTGAAAATTAGGGATAGAACGCTAAATACAGGTAGCAAAGTGATTTGCTTACTCTGTACAAGAGGGACAAGTCCATACTGAGGCATGGCATAATGAAACTACCTTTACCTGACAGAACTAAACGAGCCAGGCTCATCAGCGTTTGAAGTCTAACAACTGTCATGTGCACATGGCTCTACACAATCTAAGGCTGCTTTTGGCAGCTCTGCCTCACTGTTGCTATCATACAATCTTGCTGGTCAGGTTCCTCCGTATCTGCAGTGGTTCTCAGAGGATGCTGCCAACTGCCAGGGGAAGCAGGTACAGACTCTTGCCAGACTGTAAACTGCAAGGAACATGCCCCCATCCCATCCCCACAATCCTTTTTTTCCCCCTTTTCACCCTCTGTAATTCACTTGCTCTTACACCAATGCACTATAATTTTACTTAAAAACAGGCTAGAGAGCTAGCATGGCAAGCCCAAAGGTCTGATCTGCAATTTCTGGATATTACTGCAGAACTAAGCAAAACAGTAAGCTAGCCACTCTACAAGATCATCCCTCTGCTCTGCTCAGCACTGCCTGTACAGCACAGAACAGTGGGAAGGCTAAGGTTTTCCTCCTCCATACTTGGCTTTCAGCGAATTCATAATAGACTGCTGCTCATCCAATGCTTCCTGCAGCTGGCTGACTCGTGCTGCTGACATCCTGCATTTGGGGGAAAAAAAAAAAAAAAAAAAAAGAAAAAAAAAGTGGGTAATTTCTGCAAGGAAAGAGAGAGGGCCCAATTCTGCTATCGAAGAGCAGAAAGCACTCAGAAATTGAACTCACCTGTCACTCCTGGCTATTTCTTCTCTCTGCTTGTCTATAGTGTCCATCAAATCCAAGAACTGTGAACAAAGCAAACGTCAGTGAGAAAATAAACTGCATCAACCCGAAGCATTTACATTTGTCATTTAGTGAGAGCTAAAGACAGGTCAAGCCACTCTACTGAAAGCAAACAAACTGGAGGCTTGATCGGTTCATTAGCACATCTGACTGAGGCCATCAGCTACATGGACTCTGCACCATTAGGTGTCAGAAGGCAAACAGACCCACATTTCTAGGTTTTCACCACCTGGAAAATATCAAACCAGTTGCAAAAGAAGAACCGAAAGCACGAATATGGGTGAAAAAAAAAAATCACCAAAACTACTCCAGAATCCAGAGTGAGTATGTTCAGTGAGGCATATGTACATGCCCATACTGCCATGGATTTGATTCCTGGGCAACTCAGCTCAGAGGAAGGACCCAAATTACTAAAACATGCTGCATGTCCGCCCATAAAGATGCACATGCAACTTTAGGTGCACAATAATCCCGTCACTCTTTCACGGGGACACCGAGGAAAAGCATAGGATTCCAGCTGCCCCACTTGAACTGCCAACATGTTAAGATTGCTGACCTGCTTGGTCTTCTCATCCTTCAGACTCAAAACCTCCTTGCCGAGTATGTATGTTCGGTTCTGGCTCTCACTTAGGATAGTCTGACGGTCTTGGTTGTGATCCATGGCTTGTTCTGATGCAGAAAAAGCAGGAGAGCACGCATGTGTTTCTAAAGCAACGGAATAGCAAGCACTGCTGGAAGAGATAGCACTCAGAAGGACACCTGGCTCTCAGAAGCACCACGACAGTAGCCCTTCTCAGGCTGGCCCACAAAGAGAGACTGCTCTCACCTTACAGACAAAAGGTGGGGCAGAATTGAAGAGAGCAGGGTATATGGGGTAATCGACACCCCAGACACGGGAGAGCCCTTCAGCTCCACTGTGGATACGACAATGACAAAAGACATGCTGCATTAGCCATTTCCAAACTTGGCTACTCAGCGGCAAACTAGAGCCCCAAGTTCTCCCACATTCACATGACACAGTAATCTCTAATCCAAGCCAAATTATTTTTTCCTCTTTTTGGTAAAACTGATGCTTTCAACCTGACCAGCCCTCACTAAAGGTCAAGAAGAAGCCATGTAGGGTACTGTGTAAACGTTGCTGAGAAAAGGAGAGGAAGAAGGACAGCTCTCTTCTGGAACAGACAGTACCCTGTATCTTTCAAGTGCTGAACTGGGAAAGGAGTAACAGATTATTTCCCGTGCAACATGTAATACTTACCCACAGCTTTCAGGATGTCACTAGGAACGTTGTTCCCAGCCAGCTCCAGCTTCTTCAGGGTCTTGTTGCTGTGCAGGCAGTTCAGCAAAGCTCGGCCACCCAGAAGCCCAATATTATTCCAGCGCAAATCTACAACAGAAAGCAAACTGTCACCCTGGTAGTCACACATCTGCTGGAAAACACAGGGCTCAAGAGAAACTATGCTCCTTATACATCTACAAGCAAGGCTACCTAATGCCAAAGGGTCTCAGCACAAACACAGGTGAATACTGACTCCCATTTCGAGATGAATGAGAGGGAGGGAAAATGATGGGACAAAGCAGGAAAGGCACAGATGAATCTTAAGTGCAGGAAACCATTACAGTTCCAAAGGTACACAAGTCTGCCCCTCACATTTTCATCTCATGAGCCTTCCTTCCACAACCACAACCTGAGGGAGTGAAAGAACTGGCATCAAGAGCCACGTTTTCCTGAAGGAAAATCTAGCAGAATTCCTCGCTAAGGACAAAGCAAGTGTGACCTAAGTCTTAAGAGTCTGGCATGAGGCATGCCAACCGCATCCACAAATGGGAATGAACCCATTCCCTCCTCCACTAAGAACTGTTCTGCTCCAAGCATGCAACCTTCATCTGCAGCTTTGGTTCCAGAGTCCAGTTACAGTTCCCACTCTCCAAAAGCCATGTTCTGTGACCTCTAGTCCCTGCACAGCACTGCAGACTGACAGGAATTGGGAATGACACTGACCAGCCGGCGAAGATCAGGGCGGCTGCAACGGCCCAGATACAAGCATGTGTGCAGGCACGTATGTAGGTGGGCAAAGAACTAGTCACTCTTACCCAGCTCCTGAAGGCTGGCATTTTGTTTCAGTGCCACAGCCAGCTCTCCGGCCCCTTGATGGTTGATCTGGTTATTGCGCAGATCTAGCCGCTGGAGAAAGCTGTTCGCTCCCAGGCCTTGGCAGAAAAAGGAGAAGCCCTCCTCCCACACACCAAGGCTGTTCCATTCCAAGATAAGGCTAGGGAAAATCAGACAGGATTGGAGTTCATGGAGTAAAAAGACAGTCGCATGACAGCTGGATCACAGTGCCCATTCAAACACCCAGCTCTGCTAATACACTCGGTTTCAGAGAGCAGGATGCTGCCAGGGCCCTGCATCTGCCAAAAGACCACCTCTGGTCCTCACTCCTTCACCTGTCCCATCCCTCACAAGAAACTTCACCACTTGACATTCCTCCTACCCTAACAAAAAACACCCTCAACCCTTTCCTAGTGTTGTGGTCCATCTGTCAGGAATAACAGAAAGAGAGGTAGATACAATTTTTTACCTCCTGATGGATTTGTTCTGCCTAAGAAGTTTTCCCAAAGCCTCAGCTCCCACGGTTCGGAGGTTATTCCCCTGAAACAAAAGGCCCAGGTGATCAGTAGGCCATGCCCTGTCCCAATCCAGCTATCCCATCAAACACTATCAGGTGCATCCCAGCTGTAATGCTGATTTCGGTCCATCAAAGACAGTCTCAGCAACATTTGTTTCACATATCAGTCGGCTTTCCACAAAATGACAGACCCCAGCAGGAACGGTGGATACATACACCACTAGTCTTGTGAGGCACTGTGACTGAGAGCTCACAAAAATCACAGGACAGCACAGGATCAGCATGGGCCATGATGGGATAGAAAATACTGATTCTAGATAAGCAGAATCATTTCAACATGCTTCATTAGAAAGGACTCAGCTAGCACCAGCACAAACGAGAAGGAAAGGTGTGATGCAGCTTAGGACTGTAGATTCAAGTCAATAGCTGTTTACCAGAGCAATACAGACAGAAAGTCACTCTCACAGATCATCACATCTGAAAGTGGATGCTTAGCTCCAAGCCCCAGGCTAGCTGAAAGACACTGGGAAGCTGGATAAACCCTACAGAAGTGCAAGTCGAACAACCAGTAACTCACTGACAAATACAGAGACCTGAAGAAAAGCCTACAACACGCTTCATCTGTCCAAGCAGCAACTGACAAAAGATATACAGCGACAACTTCCTATCGAAACTGAGGGATTGAATAAAAAGAGACAAAGATGAGCTGTGAAGTAACTTTGGAAAGTTGTGACGTGGTGTTAAGGATGCCAGGAGTGAGTCGCCTGAGAATAAGAACTTTACAGTACACGTGTTGTAGAACAACCCCGGACTATTTGTAACTCTGATTAAGCTTGCGCTCTTATCTCCTTCCCCACCTCTTCGTCTTTATTTGATCAGACTCACCTTCAAATCCAAAGATTTGACTGTGGTGTTGGAGCAAAGACCATGCAATAGAAGTTTTACACCTGAGTAGAAAACAAAACCAAAACCAGACAGTTATTTATTTTATGCATAACCTTTTTACATGTAACCTTCTGCCTAAGCTTGAAGAGAAAGCACCCTTTCAAACAGCTAGCTCAGAAGATGTGGCTATGATAAAACACATGACCTTGTAAATGGCCACTACTGCTGGAAAGTTCAGTCTGAACTTTCAGGACAGGAGATTTTTCTATATATTCTCAGAGAAAGAGGTGCCTGGGTGGAGAACTGCATGTCACCCTACGTGCCTTGCCAAGGCAGCGACGGGGACAGCCCGTGGTCAGACAGGCTGCCCCCACGAGACGCTCGCTGGCTCCCTGAACCCAGGAGAC